ATCGCTTGTTGCTAGGATTATAAATCGGTTAGCTAGTCCTTTAAAAGTCATGTTGGCTGTGGGAGCTTTACAGACAGGCAACAATGTCCAATTGACCAAGTAGCATCAAGACAACTCAAGATCCGTAACAAACAATTCGCCCATTAACTTTTCTTGAAAGATCCAGTCAACAGGGGAGTATTAGGATGTCACTTTTGGAAAAGTCTCGCCACCTCCCCCCATCTGTACCCTTTTTCAGCTTGGAAATTAAGTTGTTTTAAGGAGCAGACGTTATCACACAAAAGATATCAAATTAAAGCGAATAACCAGAATATTCTTTAATTCTTTGTTGGTTAATATCTCGATTCATGCCAATTCGTTTCCATTTTAGACTCCGTGAAAACAACGCATCACGCCGATTGAATCTGCAACCCGGTTTTGGAATCAGGAAGTATCATTACAGTAGTAGACCACAGATATTTGACGATTCTGAATCGGGTGTTTGGACGTTGAATAGAGAGGGTGGACTACCTCCCAATAGTGGCGGCAGCATTCGACGTGTTGCTGCCCAACGCAGACCAGAACAATATGGTAAGTTAAGTACCCTGGGGGGTGGGTGTGGGGGGTGTGGGGGGGGGGAGCTTAAATCTCACCGAAATAGGCAAATTAAAACAGGTTAAAATACTGCTACCCCTACAGGACACTATATGAAATAGGCTGACTTTAGCTGAGTCCTTTTACTAGAGGAATTGTAGGATTTGACCTCCATCCCATAACTAATAACCTTAAATGAGTGGTACAAAAGGACTGTGAATCACTGTGATAACCCAGCAACTAATTGGGTAGTTGAAACTTGGAGGTCACTGCGGCTAGTGCATAGATCAGGGGTCACGCACATACACATCCACGTTCCTCCTTGAGAGAGAATTGTGATCATCCTGGTCATCGCCCACACATATCGCTGACTTTATGCCTTTTCTTAATGTATTCGTCCTTATCTCTACCATAATTCTTTATAAAGCGAAATATTGATTTCAAAATTCCAAAGTCAGATAGCAAAGTCAACCTGAAAGACAAACAGTGAAAAGTGAAACCACGTACGTACTACTAGAAGAAAAAGTTTTTCAGACATAATAATTCAAGTAGTTAAGAGGAAGGCAATTGCAAGCTCGAATAGCATCGAATCAAGTGTTTGTTTGCATTGCCTACTGACGACGATCGTACCCTTTTTGGGCAATTTTTCTCTGAAGGTTGAGATTCTAACTCCTTTAACGCAGGGGAGATAGGATAGACATTTGACCTTAAAGTACTCAACTTATCCCTCCAATTATGCTTCAAATGAGCAGCTAATAACGATGAACCGTTAATTTATGAAACTGACAATTGAGTAGATGCGTGGCTTTCAAGGCTTAATTTTGTAAAAATGAGTGCGAGCCTTTACTCTGCGGAGTTTGGATCACCCTTTCATGCGTTGTTCGGATCAAGTCGCGGCAAAAAATCCTGGTATTTCCACTGATCTCTGGGTGATGGATTAAGTTGACCACTTCGCAAATTTCTAATTTAGCTAACATTTTCTTAAAAATTTATCATTGAGGTGGTAACGTCAACGTCAGCATTGGAAATGCCTTTCATTCTGATGTTGGACATTTCAAGTGCCTTATAATTGATATTCACATTAACCTGTGATCTCATCGGATGTGTAAGAGTTCCACCGTCTCCTTTCTCTAAACATTGGGCAGCGTTAGGTGAGCTTAAATCGAAAGGGTCTGATAAATGAGAATCTAATTTTTTGTTGGAGGGCTATATAGGATCGTCAACGACAGTGCAAAAGCGACAGTTTGACGTTTTCCACGGTAGGAGAATGGCCGTTCTAAAAATTATAATTAGGAGTTTAAAAGTTTATTTAATTATATATTTCAAATGGCAGGCGTTTCGATAGTTATCATTGGCTCTTTACCTCACTTCGGGCTTCACAGAGGAGAGGAGCTTCATAGGGAGAAAAATTTGAGAGGGAGAAAGAAGAGTGATTCACAGATGTAAAGAGACAGACGGATACAAATGCAGAGAAAAGGTAAGATGAGTTCTGTTAAAGTGGTCGAATTCGGCAAACAGTGGGGTGATGGTAGGTTGAAGTCAAAAGTCGACTGCCGAATAATAGACATTTTTGCCGTATGAATATACGTTGCCCAGGGTGCACCACGTGGAGGTAAGTCTTTCGCACACCCCAATTATAGAATATAAAAAGTGTGACATTCTGTTTTGAATTTTAGTCCAAGTTTTACAGATCTATAATTCTTCCACAACCATAAATTCGAAGCATACAACTGACAGTTTGATATATTAGAACTTCTGAATTGTCAATTATGTTTTTTTCTGCCATATTCTAACTGACTGGAATGCCTTGAAGCCAGAAGCTTTAGAATAGTCACAGACAACACTTCCCAGTCAATTCCTAATTAAAAATAAAAATTTTACAAGTTCAATTTCGTATATACTAAGAAAAGAAGGCTTTTAATTTGTTAGGTATAATCACCAACCACTTACACCGGGTCATGACGAACTGGTAAATTAAGAGAAACTCTATGTCTGCACCAAACAGTATATATTTAAGCGATGTACTTTGAAATGCTAAAAATGACCTTTCGTTCACTTAATCGATTGTCATCCTAAATAATGTGGTAGAAAGCTAGCAAACGGTTATCGCCAAAATCTTAAACTAGGTCAGTAGTGTGAGAAAGTAATGCACCCAATTGTTTTACTATTGACATTCGTGTTCGAAACAAGACTAAGTTAGAAGCATTTAAGCAACAAGCTACTTACATGCAAATGAGTAGGTGAAACTTAAAATTTAAAATATTTCTTCATCCCTGCTCCCGCACCTCTAGGAAACATGTTTATACCAGCTGATGCGTAAAATTATTCAAATTTTATTACAGCACTATTCGTTGCCCTACATTGTATCCAGCACATGATATTGAACGCAAATAGGCTCTTAATTAAACAATGAAACTTTCATTTAACCACTATCCGGACTGCTGGAAACGAAAAACAGTGGATTCGCTGCGTGAAGCAGGACTAAATTAATTTTCACACGACTGCCTGCTATTTTGAACCATCACTGCTAAAACTACACCAGCTTTCCTTTTTCATACAGCAAAAAAAATTCACGTTGACACTTCGTGCTTCTTTCTATTCTTCAACTGGTACAAGATATGCTGATAGGATTTTAAAGCAAAGTAACAAAAATAAATGAAATAATTCAACTTTACATTGAAATTAAATAGTGAACAGGTTATGGATTCATAATTGTGAATATGGTTTGCTATCACACCTGCAAAATGTCATAAAAATGGCGTATTTGATAATTCCGTTAAGTTATATTCTCAGTAATACTAATCAACTGTGCTAATTGTAAGATCTCACCTTTTCCACCTTTTCCGACAATCAAAAATTACAGCTCCATTTCAGTGTACATATTTTACCACAACTTATTCTTCATATTAAATACGATGGTTAATTCAAATTTAGTACGACAAAACTTAGGTAACTGGCTAATACATTCGATTTCTATGATTTGAGCACTTGCCTATGAAAGTTAAGTTTTTGTGGAATGGAGCATGGTTGTGCTGTGATTCAGCAAAGTACCAAGTTTTGGCTATAACAGTACATAACTATTGATAGCGAAAGGTAAAGATTGTCTTACGAATTTATTTAAATTTCCAGTTGTTATAAAGATTAAGAAAGGAGGTTGTCAAATTTATTTCTGCAGAATTTGAAGTTCTTTGTTGTTTTACAATCTTGTGATGAAGTGACTTATAGTTTTCTTAAAAAAACATA